TAATAATAATAATAATAATAATAATAATAATAATAATAAGATCTGAACTCCTACAAAGAAAAACCTGATGTTTAGTTCAAATAAAGATGAGAGATGGTTAATTAACTCTGATGAAGGCCTTATAATTATTCAGTTTGTTTGGGTTTGGTTCCTTTATCTGACTTATTCAAACTATGAACAAACATGGAGGAAAGAAGTGGAGTTGATGTGGGCCGTTGTTTTTCTGCTTGAGCTCAGAAATAAAAAAAAACCTGACGTTAACAGGATTACTGTATCTGTGACTGAGGGGGGGCAGAAAAGGGGATTTTGGATCAGCGTATTTAATATCTGCGGCTTGTTTTTGAGTCCTCTGAAGCTTTAATCTTTAAGAGATAAAAATAAACTTCACCTGTTTGTGCGTCCAAAACCTGTTCTCTAATCCGGGTCTGATATCATTAAGAACAAACGTAGTTTTTAATGTTTATTTCAGGGGTTATGTCACAATGTCTATTTTTCCCAGAGGAAAACTAGCAAACCCCGACGGAAACATTTAAACGGTTTTTAGATGGTTATGTTTACCTATTTTAAAAACCGAGCTTTAGTTTATTTTTATATATATATGATATATATTTTTGCCGTATCTGTGTTTGGTCCCGTGTCTTTCCTCAAGTTTCCAGTTTGTCTTGTTTCTGTTTTTTAACTTGTTTCTAGTTTAGTCTCAACAGTTCCTCTGTCTGTTCTTCTTTTTTTTTTAATCTTATTCAGATCCAGAAAGAATCCTCACCATCATTCATTTCTGTTTTTTCTTGGACTTTAGGTTTTTTAACTTATTCTGGGCTCACTTGAGGACATTTAGGTAGAATATCAAACTTACTCTGAATGGAAAATCTCAGAAAATTAAACTAATCTCTCATCTGCATCATTGTAAACATAAAAATCAGCAGCATAAAAAGAACAATTCCCCAATAGAACAATATAATGCTGCGTGGGCTCCTTTAACATGAAAATAAACAAGTTTCTTACCAGCAAAATAAATGAATTCAGAAAAGTTAACGGACATGTGAGCAGCTTTAATGGAACTCAGTTTTTGTCCTTTAAAAATGCTTCCACGTCTCGTGGATTTTAAGCTGGGAGAAAGAAAAATAGGAAGAATATTGGATTTTTTTAGTCTGAAGTCTTTCTTTGGCCCCTCAACAACATATGAAAAAAAAAACAGAAATGATTTTGATCAAATTAGCGTGCAATAAGTCAGAAATCTATGTTGGTGTAGTCTTCTACTGGCTGTTATCAGGTATATCTGAATGTGTACAACAGGGGTTTGAGCAAAGCTTTTACCACTGAATGATGCAGAAAGTCTCTCATCCAAAAGA